GGAGCAGGAAAAAAACAGTCAGAAACCAGTATAAACCAGTCAGAAACCAGCATGGACCAGTTAGGAACCAGTATAAACCACCTAGAAACCAGTATGGAGCAATTAAGAACCAGTATAAACCAGTATGGAACCAGTATAAACCAGTATGGAACCAGTACGGAGCAGCCGAGGTCACGGGATTCCAGAACGCCGCTGGCTTGGAAGGAAACGAGCAGGAAAAAATCCAGTTAGAAACCAGTACAAACCAGTTAAAAACCAGTACAAACCAGTCAGAAACCAGCGTGGACCTGTTAGGAACCAATATAAACCAGTTAGGACCCAGTACAGACCAGTATAAACCAGTTAAGAACCAGTACGGACCAGCCCAGGTCGCAGCATTCCCGAACGCCGCCGGCCTGTGGGGGAAGAACCAGCCCAAACCACTACAAACCAGTATAAACCAGTACAAACCAGTCCAAAACAATCCAAAACAATACAAACCAGTATAAACCAGTACAAACCAGTAGGCACTGACCTGTCCAAACACGTCCAGGGCCCGGCCCGGCCCCCGGGGCCGGCTGGAGGCGACCGAGCGGCGCAGGGCGCGCTCGTGCTCACAGTACTCGGCCCGCACACGCAGCCGGATGTCTGGGGGGGAAAAAAACCAGTTAGGAACCAGTATAAACCAGTATAAACCAGTATGGACCAACACAGACCACTATGGGTCACTGTAACCCAGTATAAACCAGTATAGACCAGTATAACCCAGAGCGCTCGTGCTCACAGTACTCGGCCCGCACACGCAGCCGGATGTCTGGGGGGAAAAAACCAGTTAGGAACCAGTATAAACCAGTATGGACCAGTATGGACCAACACAGAGCAGTATGGATCACTACAACCCAGTATAAACCAGCATAACCCAGTATAGACCAGTATGAACCAGTATAAACCAGAGCGCTCGTGCTCGGCTTGGACTCGCAGGTGGAAATTTGGGGTGGGGGAAAAACCAGTTAGAACCAGTATAGACCAGTTAGAACCAGTACAGACCAGTTAGAACCAGTACAGACCCGTTAGGACCAGTATGGACCAATATAAACCAGTACAAACCAATAAAAACCAGTATGAACCAGTATAGACCAATAAAAACCACTATGGATGAGCCTGCACCAGTATAAACCAGTATAAACCATACTGGGACATTCCCAGTGCTCCCAGTATGAACCAGTATAAACCAGTACAAACCAGTATAAACCAGTACAAACCAGTATAAACCAATCCTGACGACTATAGACCAGTATAACCCAGTATAGACCAGTATAAACCAGTATAAACCAGAGCGCTCGTGCTCGGCTTGGACTCGCAGGAAGAAGTCTGGGGTGGGGAAAAACCAGTTAGAACCAGTATAGACCAGTTAGAACCAGTACAGACCAGTTAGAACCAGTACAGACCCGTTAGGACCAGTATGGACCAATATAAACCAGTACAAACCAATAAAAACCAGTATGAACCAGTATAGACCAATAAAAACCACTATGGATGAGCCTGCACCAGTATAAACCAGTATAAACCATACTGGGACATTCCCAGTGCTCCCAGTATAAACCAGTATAAACCAGTACAAACCATACTGGGACACGACCCCAGTGCTCCCAGTAACCCTGCACTGGTCCCATGGGACATTCCCAGTGCTCCCAGTATAAACCAGTATTCCCAGTTCCCACTGACTCACTGTCCCCACAAGCCCTGGAATGGAGCTCGGCACCTCCAGTTCTCCCAGTTTGCCCAGTTCCATACTGGTTTGTCCCTCCCAGTTTGCCCCAGTTCATCCCAGTCCATCCCAGTCCCCTCCCAGTATATCCCAGTTTATTCCAGTTTCCTCCCAGTCCATCCCAGTCTGTCCCAGTCCGTCCCAGTCTGTCCCAATCTGTCCCAGTTTATCCCAGTCCCTCCCAGTTTGTCTGTCCTAGTTCCCTCCCAGGGTATCCCAGTCCCCTCCCAGTCCCATCCCAGTCCATCCCAGTCCCTCCCCAGTCCCTCCCAGTCCCCTCCCAGTCCCTCCCAGTCCCTCCCAGTCCATCCCAGTTCACCCAGTCCTTACCACACGTGACTTTCCCGGGGGTCTCCTGGGGGGGCTCTCGGTGGGGGCGGGGCCGCCGCGTCCGCCGGGAATTCCGGGAGGAATTTCGGGAACTTCGGGAAGAATTCCGGGAATTTCGGGAACTTCGGGAAGAATTCCGGGAACTTCGGGAATTCCCGGAACTTCGGGAATTTCCGGAACTTCGGGGATTGTTTTGGGAATTCTGAGAGTTTCGGGAATTATTTCGGGAATTATTTTGGGAATTTTGGGAATTTCGTTTCCTTTTCCCGGAACTGGAACCGGAACTGGAGCCTGTGGGGAGAGCGAGGACACCCAGAGTGACCCCAAAGTGACCCCAGAGCGACCCCAAAATGTCCCCAGGTGTCCCCAGGTGTCCCCCAGGGCTCACCTGTCTCCCAGTGCTCGGGGCGGGGCTGGGCGGGGCTCGGGCAGGTGCCCCCCAGGGCCGGGACACAGGTGACACGCTCAGGTGACACTGCGGGGACAGTGAGGGACACCTGTCAGAGCCTGGGGACACCTGGGGTGACACAGGTGACACACAGGGGACACAGAGGGGACACTGGGGGGGACACAGAGGTGACGTCACTCACCTGGCCGCAGCCTCTTGAGCGTCACACACCTGAGAGCAGCTCGGGGTGGGGGACAGAGGGGGGGGGGTGTGGCCGACACACAGGTGACACACAGGTGACACACAGGTGACACACAGGTGACACACGGGAGGGTGCGACCGACACGCAGGTGACGTCACTCACCTGGCCGCGGCCTCTTGAGCGTCACACACCTGAGCAGGTCGTGGCGAGCCGCCGCCCTCAGCAGGCGCCGCAGGTGGCCCAGGTCGCCCTCGTGGCACAGGCCCCGCCTCTCCAGCTCCAGCAGCACGGCCAGGCCGCTGCGCGCATGCGCGGGGCTACCCGGGGACACCGAGCGGTGGCCCAGGAGGGGCTCGGGGTCGCCAAGGCCGGGATCTGGGTGGCCCAATCCGGGCTCGGGGTGGTCCAGGAGGGGCTCGCGGTCGCCAAGGCTGGGATTGGGGTGGCCCAGGGCGGGCTCGGGGTGTCCCAATCCAGGCTCGGGGTGTCCCAATCCGGGCTCGGGGTGGCCCAGTCCGGTCTCGCGGTCGCCCAATGCGGTCTCGGGGTGGCCCAGCGGGCTCCGCTCCAGCAGCAGCCACAGCGCGGCCACGTCGCTGGGGCTGAGCTGGGCCGCCAGCACCTCGAAGAGGCGGTGCAGCGACAGCATCCCATAATAGTCCAGGCACTCCTCCTCCTCGTCGCGACAATGTCGCGACATGGGCGGGGCCAGGCCGCCCCCGC